GCTGTGGGGCTTTCCAATGCATCCTAGAATGTTTAACAGCATCCCTTGCCTCTACCCACTCGATGCCAGCAACACCCCTGCCCCAACTGAGACAACCAAAAATGTCTCAAGGTATTGCCAAACGTCCCCTGGAAGGCAAAATCACCCCTGCTTGAGAGTCATTGACATAACTGATTCCTGCCCACCCTTCGTATTTTAGCTAATGTGTCACCACCTCCTGGAAGCTTTCCTTAACCCCTCAGAATGGATCAAATGCCCCGTTACATGTTCTTATAACATTGTACACCATTTCTTCAGAATATGTATCAAGGGTGGCAACTATATATTTATTAGCATGGCTATTTACTTATTATTTTTTCCTAGTCTATAAGATCCATGAAAATGGAAACTGGGTCTACTTTTCTCCCTGTCGTATGCCTTAGCACAGTTCCTAGTTCATATTAGGTACCACCGTAAACAAACGCTGTGTAAAAGAGAGAACGGGAATGCAGAGATCAAAGATGCCCTCAATAGCAAAATTCAAAAACCTTCAGAGGGAACATAGATATGAACCATTGGCCAGAGGCATCTAAGAAGCAATGTAGTTCACAGCAGATGGGAACTTGTAAGTAATATTCTTTCCATATACTTGAAAGACAGTGGAGAGCAGCTATGAAATTAATGTCTCAGGAAAGTCTCAGATGAGACACTATAGGGGTGTGAGAGGATGGGTACGTACAGACATGGAGTCATCTGCAAGAACAGTGCTGTGGATGCTAACATTAGCCCAGGAGCTGAGGCTCACATAATGGACTACAGGAAAACTTTTACGATACCATCTTTAGATGGCAGGCCTCGACCTGCACAGAAAGCAGCAGCTCTGTAGCCCTTAAGGGAACCCAGGACAGGAGGAAACTAGGGGTGCATGGAATCATCCACTCACAGTTTCTGATACATACTGTATCCATGGCTAAATTCAAAACAATGTAAACATTTTAAAATTTCCTTTACTGAATGAATAACAGATCATTTTCCTTTGTGAAGATGTAAGCAAAATAGGAGCTAAACTATTTAATCTATCTGCTGTCAACGTCTTTTCCAAATAAGGGCTCTTAAATTGTTCTCACCTTTTCGTACTCTAAACTTTCCACTGTGATTTGTTTGATGTTTGTTTATTAGAGGGGTGTTGGAGTCGGGGTCTTGGCAGGAAGAATACGGACACAATAAAGGAATTGTTTATAGAATGTGTTGAGAAACCACAAGGATGGTGCTATATCTAGGGTCTAAGAGTGAGGCACTCTTGTCACCTCTAAGCCTGAAGGGGTAAAGGAGAGGGGAGTGGTTACAGGAACAGGGAGACAGTTACATAGATAGAGAATGCAGCCAGCTTGTAGTGACCAGGCAGAGAGGGAGCACAGAAAATGAATCTATACCCAGCTTTGCTCTGCTTCCCATCTCCACCTCCCTCTCATCTGCTTTTGCTCCTTAGTGGTAGCAATCCAGCAGGCAAGGTTACCTGCTGATTCAGTTCATAAAGGTGAGTCTCCAGGGCCCAGGACAGGAAGGAGAAGGGTACAAAGAGAATGTGGAGGGGCAGCAGAAAATATCCAGCACACTGTTTCATTACACACCATTTCCAGATGGTGGACAATAATGTTATTTTGGAATTAACACAACGCTTTGTAAAATAACATTGATTTTGTGATATCACTTTTTTACTGGGAGATAGAGTATATTTCAACTGTGTGTATACTTTGAAAGTAGACACAACATAGGAAATCCTGCATGGCTATCTCAGAGACTTGACAGTTTCCATAGTCATTGTAGTGACTCAGACTAAGAACTAGTCTAGCGCCAGCTTCCAGGTCCCCTGTTACACTCTTGAACGTGGCTGCATGACAGAGACACAAAACTTAACCCGCTTCTGCCTCTCTCCTTTAGGGGTGTGATAGGATCACATAGTAGAGCCTTCTTAACTTTCCCTGCGAAGGATGTAGGAGCAGCAGACGTGAGAAGAGTCATCATGGTCCTTTGAAGAAGTTTAGAGGGAGGGAGAGAGGGTGGGAGAGAGAGAAAGAGAAAGAGAAATAAGCAGCTGTTGGGATGAGAGGGATGCTGGGGCAATAGGTGGCTAAAAAGAAATGTTAGGATGTTTGCCTGTTTGTCATGCAATAGTACACCTCTCCCCTTGGAATTTTCTGAGAGACCTAAATAAAGATTGAAATTACTTCCCAATTTAAATATGAAGCTGTTCAGAAAGAGACCCCAAGCCATCTCAGCCTTCTATAGGCTATAGGAGCAAAGAACAGATGGCCATCTGGACAAGGGCCCTAGAGCCAGAAGGAAAATCCAAAGAGCATGGCAACTCAGAGATGCCAGCATCAACATGATGCCTGGGTGAACTCTCCCCTACTCTCACCTACATTTTCCAGGAAGAGAGAGCACTTTCACCAAGAGCAACATGGAGAAAGTACAGCCTAGCTCAACACACTAATAGGTGCAAACATCAACAAATGGGTTGGCGGCCACACCTACTAGACAGACCCCATCTTGGGATGATGAAGCCTACTGGGGTGATTCTAGTTGCTGAGACCAAGCTTGGGCTTCTGTCTGTCCCATCTCTTGAGTCCTGACCTGGGCTTGTCGCCCAAGCTCCCATCTGTCCTGCTCATTACTTGGCACTCTTTCCTGTTCACAGACTCAGCCTCCACCTGTGTGTGCCTTTGATGAACCCCTTCTGCAAACTCTAGCCCTAGCATGCATTTGAATTCCAAGTTTTGATAGCTGCTTTTCTCAACACTGCATTTCTTCCAATTTTGTTTGGGATTCTTGACACTGTCTTGGCTTGAAATATTGATATACACTATTCTTACCTCATAACCAGGACCATTTGGGGTCTGATGCTAAACCAAGTTCGTGCCACTATCCTCAAGATACTCCAGCCTGGCCAACTACCTCAATTCCTGCAAACCAATATTATATCACTAATATTTATTGTTTTTTTCCTATAAGCCTAGAACTTTGCATGAATTCTCTCTTGTAATCCACAGGAAATACATGTATGTAAGAGAATACTGCCTTTCCTATTTTACAGATGAAAATACTAAAACATAGAAAGGTTGAGTAACTTGTCTAAGATCAGAAAGCCAGCTGGTGGTAAAGCTGGCATTGGGACCCAGGCAGCCAGACTGCTGAGTCTATGCTTTCACCCACGCATTTTAGAACATTTCCAACCTTCCGGAAAGGGGATGACCCAAGACCTTGCCTTCCTTCCGGTTTGGAACACCCTCCCTCATTCTGTACCTAGTGAGATCCTTCTTCACGTCTCAGTTTACATGTTTCCTCCTCAGAGAGACCTCCCTGTTCACCTGGCTAAAGACAGTCTCCCCTGCTTATATTCTCTCATGCATTCTGTTTTTCTCCTCTGTTAAATTTATCCCAACAAACATTCCTTTGCGTGTTTACTTGTGGAATGTCTTACCTTGCTCTGTAAGGGACGGGGTCTGTTTTGCTCTGTACCATGTCCCTCACATTCAGCTCAGCAACTGACCCATAGTGGTCAATATTTTTTGAATAAAGGAACAAATGAATAGACTTCTTTCTGGCATTCTCCTCACTGCAGAACCTTTCAAAATTCCATGCAGTACCTAAATTGCTGGGTCTGTGGCAAATGCTTTTTGCTGTGTGCTTACTGCTGAGAAAGCACACATTCATCCTTTGAAGGTAGATTTTATTTTTAGAGGTAGATAAAAGCCTTTTGAGATCAAATTTGCAAGGAGCAAGCTTGTCACAACTAGGTAACCTAACTTTGGTTCAAAAGTGCCTTGTGATTATAAAATAGTAAGGCTGTGTGTGTATGTCCTACGGACACTGCAGAAGAGGGGTTCTAATGGTCGCCCGATGGCCGTGTTCCTCACCAGTGTACAATCTACAGGGAACAACTCAATTGGTCACATACATTCTAGCACATCAGTTCAAGATTAACTTGATTACTTTCTAATTAGATTTCCAGTGTGCCTCGTTTAGTCCAGTGTCCTCAAACATTTTGGACTTCTGTATTCTTAAAAAGTATTGGAGATCCTCAAAGAGCTTTTGCAATAAGGATTATGTCTATCAATACTCACCATACTAAAAATGAAAACTGAGGAATTTTAAAATCATCGATTTATTAGATCGCTTCAAAATTACATTTCTTTTGCTATGTCGTTTTGGAAAAAAGAAATCCAGCGTCACCCACGTATGTGGTTAGAAAAGGAAAAGTGTTTTAATAGCCTTTTCAGATAATCGTGGGATTCTTTGATAGTATACCCTAACTCAACAACTGGCAGTTTCTTAAAGATTAGTTCAATATGAAATAAGAAACCATGTCAATGAAATTTTTGTTCTTTGCTGCATTCAAATCCATTCCCCTATCTTGCATGATTTGGATCGACCCATGCGTGATTTTGTAGTATCACGTATTTGGTCAGTTAGGCCAAATATTGGTTCACTGCGTTATGCACATCTTCCAAAAGCTTGTGTATTTTGTCATACAATATCAAAAAATAACATTCATTAATATCACTACTAACATTGTCAGGAATCTTCAAGTACCGGGAAGTTGTCAAGCTGCTAGTGGCGGATACGAGATTTCCAAAATTAGTAATTTTTGTTTGAAAGCATGAATTTATCATTGGCAACAAATACTGTCAGTTATTTTCCTTCATAGTGATAGGCCCACTTTATTCATTTTCAAGAAAATGTCTACAAAATAACCATGAAAAAAAAAGGGTAGTTTAGCTCACAATTCAATCAATCACACAGTTGCTTTTCTTTGAACTACATTTGGCATACAAAAGTGCTTTATTTGTACTTCCCATTATATCAGACGGAATGTTAAAAAGACTTGTACTCAAGACTCAAGATTAAATGAAATTAATAATTTTTACTACTTCAACAAGGAAATTCTTAACTGAAACTGGCTTTTCTTTTTCTTTCTTCTTTCTTTCTTTTTTTTTTTTTTTTACTGTGATTTTGTGGCAGTTAAGAACACAATGACTACTGCCTGGTATCTTGACTTGTGCAAAGGCACCAGCAGGTTTGCCCACCATTGCTTTCACACCAGTGCAAATGTCAACACAGCAGCAAGGCAAATAACATCTTAGTATCTTAAAGAAAATAGCTTTGACCTTTCTAATCCCCTGAAAAGGTCTTGTGGACTTCCAGGAATCTGTAGACCACTCTTTGAAAATGGCTGTGTCCGTCTATCTGCTGTGAAACTTTCCAAAAGGCTTCAGCAAAGGTGTGGCATTATCTTCCAGCATAATGTGACCAGACAATAAAAACAGTGTAAGCCTGAAACTGGAAAATGGCTCAAAAACCATGAGAGAAAAGAGAATGTGTGAGAAGAGAGACTCAGTTATAGACGAGATTAGCAATTTTTGTTACAATATTTAGATACAAACAGATTATCGTGGCACTGATTCTAAAATCTGCTTTTCTTTGCCCACAACATGCTTCGAGAACAGTCTCAAGGATCACTGTCTCTTGCTGGCTTCTTCTAATTCCAATTTCTCAGAATATAAACTCTAGAAATATGAATTTGCTTTTAAGGGGGAAAGGTAACAGGAATTCCGGGAGGAGGCGCCTTTACCTGTAACCAGAATTTGCCTTTTAGCACAAATTCAGTTGCTTCAGACCAGTTGGATTTGAGTTCTCACCTCTGGCTAATTTCACTTCATCTACACTTCATCTCTTTCCCGGGTGCTTTTCTGGTAGTGTTTAGTAGCTAATTCATAAATGCCTGATGACATCTGTGAGAGGACAACCTTGTGAGTAAGATATTTATTTGGGGGGGGGCAGACTTTATTTTTAAAATGCAGAGCACAGTGGTTCCTTTAAAGCATGTGGCAGCCATAGAGCTGTTCTCCGCGTGGAGCAAATGCACTGTGTTCACAGTCAAGGAGCAGTGAGCAGGAGAACCCAGCTCTTAAGTACCTTTGTGTAATGTCGAACAACCTGGGATGCTGTGTTTGCACAGCGGCCCTAGGGGAAGGGACCTCCAAGAGGGAGCAATCCAGGTAGGATCTGGATGAGGGGGGAAAGAGGGAGGAGAACAGGCCACATTTGTCACATTGGTGCAGTTTGACTGTCAGAGAAAACAAAACCTTCTGTCTTCTTGGCCTCTTCACTGGCTCTGAACGGTGCAGGCAGAGTTCTCCTGGGCAGAACCCATTCCACTCCTGGGGATTAGGCTTGTACCAAAACCTCACTCTAGCACCAGGCCAGTGAGCCAGAAGCACTGAGAGAGGTTGCTGACCAGCGGCCTTACCCTGAGACTGTGGAGGTAGGGCATGGGGGTGGGCACAGCAGTGGAATCCCAGAAGTGGGTCAGCTGCTGCTTCCTGTCCCCACCCCTAGAGTGGATGGCACGGACTCTGCTGTAGCCCCTGACTGATGAATTGCAATCAAGAGAATTTTTCCCAACCTGCTGTGTCAATAGGCAGGAGGGAAAAGATTATGAAATATGAACCAGGAGAAGGGGAAAGGGAACCAGAATGTTTTTCTTCTCCTGGGGAAAGGCTCATTGACGGGAGAAAACTCAGCCTGGGCCAAGGCTGCCCATGGCAACAAAAACAAGGGTGCCTTACATTTTCAGAAGTACAACATCGTCATGGGGCATTTCCACACTCCCTGTCACCACGGCTGCAGCTCACTACAACCAAATGAGGTGGGCAAAGGGAAAAGTGAGCGTCACAACTCACAGAATGCTGGGGAATATTTCTAGAATAAGGAAATATACGACTTGTAAGAGCTGCCTGTACGTTGGAGCCACAAGGCTGCTCCTCCGTGTAAAGCTAAAGGTAGAAATGAATGCCAGTGTGAGTGCATTTAGAAACATTTCTTTCTGATGTCACAAAAAACAAGAAGGACCTGACCTTTCTCTCAAACGTAGAACATTCACAATGAGAACAGAAGGTACTCTGTTTTGGAGGTTTCTGATGAGATCGTTACATTTTTCTTTTCTTCAAAACAAGAATAAAGGCATCCAGTGACTTTCAGTTTGCCTTAGTCTTTTTCACTCCAAGGGCATTAAGACTTGACAGTGCACACAATTCCAGTAATAAGCGTTTGTTTGGTACCCGGGTAAAATCGCCAGTATCAGGACTTTCTCATCCTTAAGCTCCCATGGGCCTCCTGTTGGCACCTAGTGTCAGAAGAATTGGGAAAAGATTCCACTTCTTGGAGCCCAGGCTTCACGTCTGTGAAATGCAATGACAATGTCTACTTTACAAGTGCTGGAGTAAAGGAGACACAACACAGGTAAATGTGTACAGCACAACTGCCTGGCACTACAGTGTTGAGTAAACTCATTCGATGGCGTGCTGGAGTTGATTTGTATGAGCTCACAAGAGCTGATTGTTATATTTTCCTGAACTTTGCTAGCCAGCTGCTAAACCACTGGTAGCCTGAGACCCATCATGCTAAGAGTATTCACACAACAGAAATTAGCAAACTATAAATCAGGGTTCCTTCCCACCCAGTCGCTAAAAATTTACAAATGCACCACTACTGCTCTTATTTTTTATTTTTTTAAACGAATTTATTTATTTATTTATGGCTGCGTTGGGTCTTGGTTGCTGCACGCCGGCTTTCTCTAGTTGCGGCGAGCGGGGGCTACTCTTCGTTGGGGTGCATGGGCTTCTCATTGCGGTGGCTTCTCTTTGTTGCGGAGCATGGGCTCTAAGCACACAGGCTTCAGTAGTTGTGGCTCACGGGCTCTAGAGTGCAGGCTCAGTAGTTGTGGCACACGGGCTTAGTTGCTCCGCGGCATGTGGGATCTTCCTAGACCAGGGCTCGAACCCGTGTCCCCTGCATTGTCAGGTGGATTCTTAACCACTGCACCACCAGGGAAGTCCCTACTGCTCTTAATAAATATGTTTTTCTCTTTTCTCCTATTCAATATTGTGCTAAAAAATAGGATAAACTAAATATTTTTTGGGTATAAATGTCTTGAAGATGCGATGAATTTTCTTTCACTGGGGCAGAGCCTCTGTTGGTTTAAAGCACCAGTGAGCAATTGTGGGATTCCAGGAATCAGCAAGCTTAGTGGCTATAACAGACACTGTTGGCTGCCTCTCCAACAACCACTGCTCCCCACCCTGCCTTTCTTCCCTCATCACCAAACTGGATTCCTTGATTTCAAGGAAGGTAGGCTCCGATCCAAATTTACAGCCCCAGAGATGGATCATGATTGTTCTAGTCAGTCATGACAGTGTGATTCTCCCTCACCTTTGATTGGTCTAGCAGCACTCATATAACTGATTTCTGGCTTCCCTTCTTGGATAAAAAAGCAGACCCTTGTTCCATATGACCCAAAGCAATCTACAGAATTAATGTGATCTCTATCAAATTACCCATGACATTTTTCACAGAACTAGAACAAATAATCCTAAAATTTATATGGAACCATAAAAGACCCAGAATTACCACAGCAATCCTGAGGAAAAAGAACAAAGCTGGAGGGCTTCCCTGGTGGCGCAGTGGTTGAGAGTACGCCTGCCGATGCAGGGGACACGGATTCGTGCCCCGGACCGGGAAGATCCCACATGCCGCGGAGCGGCTGGGCCCGTGAGCCATGGCCGCTGAGCCTGCGCGTCCAGAGCCTGTGCTCCGCAACGGGAGAAGCCACAGCAGTGAGAGGCCCGCGTACCACAAAAAAACCCCCAAAAAACAGCATGGTAGTGGCACAAAAACAGACGTATGGATCAATGGAAAAGAATAGAGAGCCCAGAAATAAACCCACTCACCTATGGTCAATTAATCTTCAACAAAGAAGGCAAGAATATACAATGGAGAAAAGACAGTCCCTTCAGCCAGTAGTGTTGGGAAAGCTGGACAGCTTGCATATAAATCAATGAAGAGAGAACACACCCTCACACCATACACAAAAATAAACTCAAAACAGCTTAAAGACTTAAATGTCAAAACATGACAACATAAAACTCCTAGAAGAGAATGCAGGCATAACATAGGCTCTGACATAACATAGGCCCTGACATAAATTGTACCAATGTTTTCATAGGTCAGTCTCCCAAGGCAATAGAAATAAAAGCAAAAATAAACAAATGGGACCTAATAAAACTTATAAGCTTTTGCACAGCAAAGGAAACCATCAGCAAAATGAAAATATTGCAAACCATGTGACTGACAAAGCCTTAATTTCCAAAATACAGCTCATACAACTAAATAACAAAAAAACACAACACAATCAAAAAAGTGGGCAGAAGACCTAAACAGACATTTCTCCAGAGAAGATGTACAGATGGCCAATAGGTACATGAAAGGATGCTCAACATCACTAATCATTAGAGAAATGCAAATCAAAACTACAGTGAGGTAACACCTCACACCGGTCAGAATGGCCACCATCAAAAAGTCTACAAATAATAAGTGCTAGAGAGAGTGTGGAGAAAAGGGAACCCTCCTACACTGTTGTTGGGAATGTAACATTGGTGCAGCCACTTTGGAAAACGGTATGGAGCTTCCTTAAAAGAACTAAAAATGGAGTTACCATACTCCTGGGCATGTATCTGGAAAAAACTCTAATTTGAAAAGATACATGCACCCCCATGTTCATAGCAGCACTATTTACAATAGCCAAGACATGGAAGCAACCTAAATGTCCATTGACAGCTGAATGGATAAAGAAGATGTGGTATATATATATATATATATATATATATATATATATATATATATACACATATACATACAATGGAATACTACTCAGCCATAAAAAAGAATGAAATAATGCAATTTGCAGCAACATGGATGGACCTAGAGATTATCATACCAAGTGAAGTAAGTCAGAAAGAGAAAGACAAATACCATATGATATCATTTATATGTGGAATCTAAAATATGATACAAATGAACTTATTTACAAAACAGAAACATTTTCACAGACATAGAAAACAAACTTATGGTTACCAGAGGGGAAGGGGTTGGGGAGGGGTAAATTAGGAGTTTGGGATTAGCAGATACAAACTACTATATATGAAATAGATAAACAACAGGGTCTTACTACATAGCACAGGGAACTATATTCAATATCCTGTAATAAACCATAATTTGAAAGACTATGAAAAAGAACATGTGTATATATATATATATATATATACACATATATATATAGAACACACATACACACACACACTGGTACTTTGCTGTACACCAGAAACTAGTACAACATTGTAAATCAACAATACTTCAAAAACAAAAAGCAGACCCTTGTTAGAAGAAAGCCTTTGAGTCTTTTTCTGCCCATTCACTTTAGTATGGGGATGGGATGCCATGTGGCCATAAGACAACAGGCAGGTGGGAGAAAAGCCAACTCCCTGAGGAGGTCTGAGTGGAAGAGTGGAGAGTGTCTATTTCTGTGACAGCAATATTGAGCCATTGAAAATGGCTCTTACCAATAAAAAATTGTTTAAACCACAATTCTATTTTTCTATTACTTATAGCCCAAAGAATTCCTATCTAATACAGGAAGGCGATATATTGCAAGTGAGGCCGTCTTTTCAAAGTTCCCTAGATTACATTTTGTAGTTAACACCTACTTATAAAGCCCACCCTGGCTCTAATTTCAAAGGGCAAAGGGCTCAGAGTGAGAGGGGACCACATATTATGGTGAGAAGATAGGTATGGAATGGGAGGGGAGATATTAATGGGTCTGGGAACTCCCCTCTGGACCTATGTGGATTTATTCAACTATTATAATTGAATCAAGCAAAGATGGGCATTCCTTTGAAGTTCTTAAAGGAACTTATAGGGTATTCCTCTAGGTACAACATCATTAGGATCTTCTTAGGATTACTTTATCCAGACTTATTCTGAATACTTCCCAGAAAGGATATCTGGGAAATTCATACACAGCTGGCAAATAAATGAAAGCGTTTTTTTTTTTGAAGTATAGTTGCTATACAATATTATATAAGTTACAGGTGTACAACATAGTGAGTCACAATTGTGGTTATACTCCATTTATAGTTATTATAAAATACTGGCTATATTCCCCCATGTTGTACAATATATCCTTATAGCTTATTTTATACCTAATAGTTTGTACCTCTTACTCCCCTACCCTGATATTGCCTCTCCCCACTTCCCTCTCCCCACTGGTAACCACTGTGGAATCTAAAAACTACAACAAACCAGTGAATATAACAAAAAAGAAGCAGACTCAAAGATACAGAGAAAGAGGTTTTCAGTGCTGGAGGAGGCGGTAGGGCTCTCTAGACGCTGTACCTATTACCCTTTCAAACAAAACTTGAGAAGAATATGTCATCATACATGTGAGAAAATAAGAACCCAAAGAGGATGAGGCTTTTCTAGCAGAGGAAATAGTGAACTCGCACATGATGTACTGGCCAGGTGTCAGAATCTGCTTATGACCCTCCCAAATGACAAGAGTCTTGCAGCCCAGTCAGGGGACTGCCAACAGCCATGGAGCAGGGAGGAGGACATTTCAATGAAGTCGGCAGTGTAGATCTTGTTTCTGGAGGCAGAGGCAGAGACCTCTCTGCTGGATGGTATGGTTTCCCTCCATGCTCCACAGCAGGGATTTTTCCAGACTGCTATAGGAGCTCCGGGCTCAGGAGACAGGAAGTGTGATTCAGGAGGGTATGCAAACAGGCCTATATGCTTCATCTCTCACGGCCACAGTTCCCAGCTCATCTCTTTCTCTGCAGTGTCTGTGACCATGTCTGATGGCAGCTTCTTCGTATACGCCAAAGGCTATAAGCTTCTGAGAGCTCAGCTGGCAGGCAAGTGCCGGAGAGGGACAATGCCAATAGTGAGAAGCCACATTCAGGGCCTTTAGCATTGGGAAATGACAGAGAATGCTAGGAAGTCCATGAATGGCCTCTGAGGCTGTTTAGAGCTTATCAAGTCCTCCTTTCTCCTTTTGCTGAAAACTCCCATGGAAGTGAAAGGAATCTCTGTCTTGTTTATTTCAAAGGGGGGTTTGTAAAAAAAAAAAAAAATTCAACATTATCCAAGTAGTTCCTTACTGGCTAATTTTCAGAGCTAAATATCTCAGCTGTTGCAAAACATATCTTTTTCATATTAGTCAAAGAAACTGGTGATGGGGTCTGACATCAGATGCATTTTCCGTTTATACATTCTCTTTCTCTCTCTTTAAAGAAATAGCCAATGCTTAAGGCTTTTCGGAAACTATTTTTAAGGAACAACTGCTCAC